GAACATTTTCCAGCTGCAAGGTAAGCTTCTGCTGACTCTCATCACATTACTTAAACATTGACATGCTTGAATGTTCAATAATATAATGTAAACATCCTGACTCTGATTCTATACATATTCATAGATTTCATGCATTCTTTGCCTAAGTAGAGAGAATTTCAGTTAAGAACTTCTTGAGGAAATTAGGATTTAGAACTAGGATTAGAAAAATTCATGCTTGCCTCTGATTTACAGTTCTGATGCTTTATATTTTTGAAACCATGATGAAACCTGCCATAATTGTTATGTGTGCATTTTTTTGTTTTGTTGAGAAATGGCTAAGCTGCAGATATTCTGATTAGCATGGAGAAGGATATGAAATCCATCGTTAGAGTTTACTTTGTAATATATGTTTATGTTTTTCTTCTAATACCAGATGTATAGCCACCCCAGTGGTAGAGAGCGTGTGCAAAAGACATTAGTGCTAAGGGTCCTGAGTTATAGCCCCAGAAACACCTTTTTTATGTTTATTTCCTGACATTTTTACCCCATTAGTTAGATTAGAACTTCTAGATCAATCCCCTTTAATTGCTTGTCAAAACAGTGATCCTGGACCAAAACTTCTAGACATTCCCATCCAACAATATTGACACCTCACATACCCATTATCAGAACTTCTAGCTTACTAGTGACACTAGAACTTCTAAGTTTCCAGCTACATCAGAATTTCCAGACTCTCTCAACAGCCATAACTTCTGACCTTCCAGTAACATTATAACTTCTAGGCTTCCAGTTGCATAAGAACTTCTAGGATTTCCCTTGTTCCCAGCAACCCCAGAACTTTAGTGTACCTGGACCCAGAACTTCTGACCGTCCCCTTTTCTGCTAACATTTTCTTTCTGACTTGCAGTGTACAGGAGTCAGAACTTCTATTCTCTCTTATTCCAGCAATGCGTTGGTTCTGACCCTTTTCCTCTTATTATTGTTATCATCATTTTATTTTCAATAATCAAAAACACCAAAAATATTTTCACATTCACATACTTTATTTTATTTCTTTTAAATCAAAAAAACTAAAAATATTTTCTTAAGCAAATTTATTTATTTCTTAGCCAAAACAAAACAAGTCCATTTTACAATTCTTGTACATTATTTCAATATGGTTGTAATAGATAATTAGGACTTTAATTTCTTGCAATTCCCATTTATAAATTTATACACCCCATCCCCCTAATGATTGTAACAGTGTAGAATATTTACTTTCTGCAATTTATCGCTTTCATATAAATGCTAGTAAAGTAGAATTTGTACGGGAAGATAAAAAACAACAAGTAGACAATAATATAGAACTTGAAAAATAAATTCTTTCAGAAGCTCTTATAAACTCTGAATCTGTCATTAAGAAACATGACTTGTCTTTTAAAAAATTTCTTGCACGAAATATAGATAAAAGTAAGATGGCTTCCATGATCTATGGAGTAATGGGATAAAAGGTATTGGTTATGTTACACCAAGGAACGAAATGCTTGATCCAAACCAAAAGAAACAATGATAATTCCGAAATCTCTATACTCTCATTTCACTTACGGGCACACACATAATGATTATGCTGCACAAAAATCATGGGTTGAAAAAATCACTAGGAGAACTAACAAAAAAGGACCCAACAAGATATGGGTAGCTAAGTGAAAAATAGTCTATATTGTAGACATCCTTAGCAGTCAAGTTACGACACCAATCATGGTATCTGGACTCTGAGATATCTTCTAAGATCTGGAACTTAAACCTGGAGGATTAATAGGTTTCAGAGGAAATCAGAAGGGTAAAATAATTGGCTTTGGAACTATTGGTAATGCCTCTCTCCCTTGTATTAATAATGTACTTTTAGTTAAAGGATTAATGCATAATTTATTGTTCATAAGTCAATTAAGTGACAATGATTATGATATAATCTTCAATAAAAAATCTTGCAAGGCTGTTTGCCAAAAAGATGGCTATGTAATCTTCACTGGCAAGAGGAAAAACATTTACAAAATTGAACTTTCAGATTTAAAAAATTAAAATGTTAAATGTCTCATGTTTGTGAACGAAGAGCAATGACAATGACATAGAAGGTTATGAAATATTAGTATGAGAAGAATGTAAAAACTAAACAAGATGAACCTTGTTAGAGGCCTTCCAAATCTGAAGTTCACTTCAGATGCTCTTTGTGAGGCATGTTAGAAGAGATAATTTTCAAAAACATTTTTCAAAGCAAAAAATGTTGTTTCAACCTCTAGACCTATGAAGCTCTTGCATGTTGACTTATTTGGGGATGTGAAAACAACCTCTGTCGATGGCAAGAAGTATGGACTCGTAATATTTAATGACTAAAACAGATGGACTTGGGTTAAGTTCTTAAAACACAAGGATGAGTCACACTATGTGTTTGCTTCCTTCTACTCTCAAGTGCAAAATAAAAAAGACCTTAAAATTATTTAAGTCAGAAGTGATCATGATGGATAATTTGAAAATAAAAGCTTTGATTTTTTTTTGAAAAAATGGCATTCTCCCCATGATTTCTCTTGTCCTAGAACCCCTCAACAGACTGGAGTTATAGAGAGGAAAAATCACACTCTACAAGAAATGACCAGAACCATGACCTATGAAACTAACATTGCAAAACACTTTTGGACAAAAGCAGTAAACATTGCATGTTACATTCACAACATGATCTCAATAAGACTTATTATGGGCAATACTCCCTATGAATTGCGGAAGAAAAAAAACTCAATATTTCATACAATAATCCATTTGGATGTTCTAGTTTTATTTTAAATACTAAAGACAACTTAAACAAGTTTGATTCTAAGGCACACAAGTATATCATGTTAGGATACTCTAAACACTCAAAAGGATACAGAGTGTACAACACTGAAACACGAATTATTGAAAGAATCAATTCATGTTAGGTTTGATGATAAGCTTGACTCTGAAAAGTCAAAGCTAGTTGAGAAATTTACAGATTTAGAGATCAACTATTCAGACTCTTGAGACAAAGACTCTGAAGTAAAAGAATATGATAATGCTCAACTAGAAGTTACTGATATCCCAGAACCTCTAAAGATGCATAGGCAAAGACCCTCACATCCTGAAGAACTGATTGTGGGTGATAAAGTTGAACCAGTCAGAACTAGATCCTCATTTGAACCAGATGAAGAAATGCTTCTTGGTTCGATGTCCGTTGCAGAACCTAATTTAATTGATGAAGCACTTATGGACACATATTGGATCATGGCAATGCAAGATGAATTAAATTAATTTTCTAGAAATGATGTATGGGATATTGTGCCAAGAACCAAAGGGACACATGTAATTGAAACTAAGTGGATTTTCAGAAACAAGCCTAATGAGTTAGGGGAAGTGATAAGGAACAAAGCCAGACTGGTTGCTCAAGGCTATAATCAACAAGAAGAAATTGACTATACATAGACCTTTGCACCAGTGGCCAGGTTAGATTCTATTAGTATCTTAATCTCTTTTAATGTAAATCATAACATTATTTTTATATCAAATAGATGTTAAGAGTATATTTTTGAATGGTTACATTACAAAGGAAGTTATGTTCATCAACCCCCTGATTTTGAAAATCACAAAAATCTAGGTTATGTTTTATAAACTGGAAAAAAAATTGTATGGTCTGAAACAAGCTCCCAGAGCTTAATATGAAAGACCAAACAATTTAATTTTGCAAAATGATTTTATCATATGAAAGGTTGACAAAACTCTATTTTGTAAGACATATAAAAATGATATGTTAATTGTCTAGATTTACGTTGATGACATTGTTTTTGGTTCTACTAGTACTGCTGTTTGCAAATAACTCACTAAGTTAATGTATGAAGAATTCGAAATGAGTCTAATGGGAGAATTGAAGTTAATTTTGGAAATTCAAATTAATCAAAACCCAAAGGAACATATATTCACCTGAGCAAGTATGCTAAATAGCTTCTGAAAAAGTTTGAAATGACTAAAAATTTAATTGAGAGGAATTAAGCGATACCTATGTGGTTTTGTTCTGCATCATAGATTGTATCATTAATGAAACTTATGAAGAAATTAAAAGACTCAAAGCTCAATCGAGAGGAGTTAAGTGATATCTCTGTGATACTGTTCAACGTCACGGATTGTATCATTGATAAAGATTATAAAGAAATTGAATGACTCAAAGTTAAATAGAGTGGAATAAGCAATATCTATGTGGTATTGTTATGTGTCATGAATTGCATCATTGATGAATATTATGAATAGATATTCTACTTAAGAATTTATATTAGATAGATAAGAAAGGATGGAGATTAATTAGTCATCTAGTTATTGCCTTATTATTTCACACGTTTATGAAATCTTCACTAGCCGTTTCTTCAAATCTATTATTTGTTCATTTGGCCTGGAAAAAAAAAAAAGTTGTGAGGATTGTGCATTAGTATCTTTTATTGAATAAAAATAGAAAAGTTTTGAAGAAATCATATGTTTTGTTTATTATTAAAATGACAAAATATGTTTATGGTGTTAGGAGACCTCCTTTTATATCTTGTTAATGGGTTTAAATTCTCTCCCATGACATTATTGTTCAATAAAATCTATATCAATGAAATTAATATTCAAAATAAATAATAATAGAAATGTTTAGTTTTTGAGGTTGGGATTTAAACAGAACCAAATCCAATGAAAATCCCACAGAAGGTAATCCCTCCTTGTTAATATATGGGAGTAGATTCTCGTAGATTCTCTCCCATGAAAATCTCTTCAGTCAAATTCTAATCACATAAAAAATTATATATATAGAAGTTTTTTTAAAATATATTTAATAAAAAATTAATTTAGATAAATTTATATATATAAAAATTTGTTCAAATTACTTTTAATTAAATTAATTTAGATAAATTTATCTATATAGAAGTTTGTTGAAATTACATTTAATTAATTTTTTATTTATGTAAATCGAGAAAGAGAGAGAGAGATTGTGTACATTTGAAGCAATGGCTACTACCAAACGCCATTTCCCATGCGAAGAAGAGGATGAATCAACTCGTCAGAAGAAAAAAGCAAAAGAAGAAGAAACTGTGTTGAAACAGCTTCCTTCATCTTGCGTTGTTTTCAATTCTGCTGATTGTGACTTAGGTATTCATTTTTCTATACCTTTTTCAATTTCACTCACTTCATCAAAACCATTAATATAATTCTTTAATTAATTTGAGTGTTTATATATGGTGTTTCCTGATTGATTTTGTTAGATTTCAATATTGAATGCAATGGAGTTGTTGGATATGGCCTTAATGAAGAAGGCTTTGGTTACTGTTGGTCTGGTGCTAGAGCTAATGTTGGAATAACAAATGGTAGATATTGTTATGGTTGCATTGTTGTTTCTGCTCAACATGTTGATACGAATGATATTGCTCCTGATCAGCGACATCTTTGTCGTCTTGGTGTTTCTAGAGGCAATGATGCTGTTGGAGCTCTTGGTGAGACTAAACAAAGCTTTGGTTTTGGTGGCACCGGCAAGTTTTCCAATGCCGGAAAGTTTTTGAATTATGGTAATAGTTTTGGTGTTGGTGATACAATAGTTTGTTGCGTTGATCTTGAGAGTAAACCACTAGCTTCTATTGGTTTCTCTAAGAATGGTAAATGGTTGGGTACTGCATTTCAATTTGATGTCGCTTCTCTTGGTCTTGGAGCGGGTTCTTCTCTTTCCAAGGTTTCTCCTTGGGAATGGCCACTGTTTCCGCATGTTCTGTTGAAAAATGTTGTGGTTCAAATGCAGTTCAGTGTTGAACAAGGACTTGTTCCTCATGGAGGGTTCAAACCTTGGGCTTTGGCTATTGCAGATGGAAATGCAGTGATGGGACCTTCTTTTTCTGACCCAAAGGATTGTGAATTGATGATGCTAGTGGGATTACCAGCTTCAGGCAAGACTACATGGGCTGAAAAATGGGTGGAAGATCAACCGCACAAGCGTTATGTTTTGCTTGGCACAAACTTAATCCTTGAACAGATGAAGGTTAGTTTACCTGTTGACTGTTTGTGGTTATCAATTTTATATCTTTAATCTTTGCTTAACCCAATGTTTTTTAGGTTCCTGGACTTCTGCGAAAAAACAACTATGGTGAAAGGTTTGATCGTTTAATGGACAAGGCAACTTCAATGTTCAATGTAATTTTGTCAAGGGCGGCTAATATACCTCGCAATTATATAATCGATCAGACAAATGTGTACAAAAATGCACGCAAGCGTAAGCTTAATCCATTTGTCAATTATCAAAAGGTAGCTATCTATATAACTATTTGTTGGAGATGGAAAAATGAGTTTACTATAGATTTGATAATTTAATTTTTTGTCCGTTCCAGATTGCTGTTGTTGTGTTCCCAAAGCCAGAAGAGCTCAAGAGACGATCTGAAAAAAGATTTAAAGAAATGGGCAAAGAAGTTCCACCTGATGCTTTGAATAACATGATAGGTATTTTTTACCCTTTACTCATTATCTGTTGGTGTTTAGTTTATCATTTTTTTTCTTAACTTAAGAATCTTCTTATGCATGTTCTGTTTTTTTATGACTATGACAGCTAATTATGTTCTTCCTAAAAGCAAGGATTTGCCATATTCCGATGAATATTTTGATCAGGTATAGTAACTTACATTGCTTGTTGTTGATCTGACTATAAAATTATCAAGCATGACTATACTAAAGCTTCATTTGTATTTCAAGGTTTTGTTTGTTGAACTGAACCGAGACGTGTCTCAGAAATATTTGGATCAAATGAAGCAAGATACTTTGTCTCTCTCTAATAACAACCCGTCAACATTATCGCATAGAGGTTCTTCTCAGTCTTCTTCCAGACCTGCATTGCAAAATCAAGGAAGTTCAACAGGTTTTTATATAATTGCAGTTGCTTTTCGTTCTTGCAGTCAGCTTTATTGTATAATTACCTTTAATAATCTTGACGTTGTTGCATTCTTGCTCAGGAAGTGGCATTCACCAGTGGAGAGCTCATTCTCCCATCTCTCAAACCAACTATAGGATGCCTAGTCAAGTTAGTCACTTCAACCTATAATACAACTTTATATTAACTTGAAAACTTTTCAGTTAAATTACAGGAAACTTTTCCATCTTGGTTATTTCTGTCTTGGGCAATTATGATGATTCCAAGGTACATGTTTAGGTCAATGCAGGTGGTCATATGAATGAACCTCAGCTCAATATGAATCCATTGCATGGAGGATATCCAAACAGTCAAATTTCACATGTTGCAAGATCACCCTTTCCTTACGGACGCTATTCCAATGGTGAAGCATCTTGTTTTTCTAGAGATAATGTTGGTTCCAGTAGAACTTGCGGTGACATCGAACCATACAGAAACTCTGTTTTGGGTGGCCAGTATAGGCCAAGCACCGCAGGTAACAACAATATGGGTTTTCATGGAACACCTTATGTTGAATACCGAGAGTCGCAGCCTTCCAATCATAGTACATATGAAAGATCTTATGTGGGATACAGAGATTTTCACCCTGACCCGCCTTCACCTGCACCAGCTACATGTATTTACTCTCTTATAATTTCTTCTTTTGTAAGCTTTTTTTAGATTAATGCAAATATTAATTTGTTGCTATTACATTTCAGCTTTGCATCCCCCGTATGGGGAACCAACTCAAAGACCTCGATATGGTGGATTACCTGATAACACGCAGTATTTAGGAAGATATGCTTCTCAATATCCAAAATACTAGCCCTGATATTGATCAGACAACGTTATTAGTAAGTGGAACAAGACTTCATTGACAGCTAGAACTTGTCATTTTAGATATATCTTAATAGTAATAAAATAATGAATGAGTGTCAACAATTGCAGTGTCGTTTTGTAATACAAAAATAGATTCTTTCATGTTAAAGTTATCGATCCCTCCATAATTATTTACAAGTTTTAATAGGCTCACTTGTTTAATATCTTTGAAGAGAAAAATTGACGCAACAACTTTAACTTGACAAGTCACAAGTTTCAAAGTTCTAGCTCCCTCCATAATGCATGCTAAAAAACATTAATATTGAATAACTGACAAGTTTGAAGTCCAAAAGTATTACGAGTTAAAATAACTATATTATCTTAGGATGAACCCATGTATGAATCATCTTAAAAACAATTATATTCTTTGACTGTGACTCTTTTGCAGAGCATATACAGTGAGAGATTCAATTTCAACTCTGATATATTTCCCCTTAAACCACTTCAAGATATTCTAATAATTATTTCAACCATTTCATTATTATTATTATTATTTTGAATATTTTTGTTCATTTTTTAATTATATATTGGATATTCTAAATTGCAGTTAGTTACATGTGTTGTATGGTGTTGTTGACCATGATGATCTGAAGCAACTTTTTCAGGTGTTCAAAATCACTAGAGAATCGGTATGCATTGTTATTAATTAGTAGCATTATAATTAATTATTCTCTTAAATTTGTAATAATTGTTGGATTTTCCTATTGAAGACACTTTTTGTGAAGGAATCGTATTTTAAGTGTAGCACGCCCAAGAAGAAGACCTTTGACTCAAATGATAAATTTCCAGAAAGACTCAAAGTTCAACCGAGAAGTATTAAGCGGTATCTCTGGTATTGATCTGCTTCACGGATTGCATCATTGATGAAGATTATGAAGAAATTGAAAGACTCAAAGCTCAATCGAGAGGAGTTAAGCGATATCTCTGCGGTATTGTTCTGCGTTACAGATTGCACTGCACCATTGATGAAGATTATGAAAAAATTGAAAGACTCAAAGTTCAAAGGAGAGGAATTAAGGGATTTCTCAGCGGTATTGTTATGTGTCACATATTGCACCATTGATGAAGATTATGAATTGATATTCTACTTAAGAATTGATTTTTGGGCAGTCCCTTAGGGCACGGGTAGTTGTTTCACAAACCACACAATAAACAACCTGCACTGCCAAGACCTTTCTTGCTTTTACTAATATTAGTAAGGATCCTATCAACAAAAAAAAAACTTCTACATCTCTACGGGGCTGCTATTTTCCCTATCATTTTCCACTCTTCTTCTGCCAAAGTCTTCAAATCCTGCATAACTGTTGAAGATCTCCTTCAGCGAGAATCTCCAAGCAACTCAACAGGAATTGTGGTCTCGATATTATTTGAGAAAAACTCCTTTCCCAGTCAGTTGTAAGTCTTTCACGTCCCCTACGCTCCAGCTTCTAAACTCTAACAACTCTGGTATATTCTTGATGATCCCCTTCCAAAGACTCGAACAAGTACTTCTAAACCTCATGAAATCGTCATTTTCAAATATTACCACAAGTCATATGGTTTATTCATAACTTGTCACCCTAGCTTCATGAGACACACAATATTTGTTGTCTTTGGATTTTGAAATATTTGCCATCGAAGAAATTACCAGGTTGAGTCGCGGACTAAGTCGCTCTCTTTAAGACGTTTCGCGGCACTGCTCAAAATTATGCAAAGCAGTCGAACTATCGCGCCGCCTCCAGGATAAAACAGAAATACACCCTCTGATGGTACAAGACCATTCAAATATGGTATCAACACCACTCGTAGTATCTAATACAAAGACCAGTCATAATAATTTCTTAAACAAAAAGAAACTCAAATAATTCTCCAAAGAGAAATTAATAATGGTCATTTGACCACTCATAATAATTTCTCTAACAAAGAGAAATTCAAATAATTCTCCAAAGAGAATCTAAAAGATTAAACTTGAAAAATTTCTCAACTCAAATGAGGAGAAATTAACATAATTCTCTAAAGAGAATTCAAGAAAATACTCAGAAAATTCAACGAGTAGGAAGAAAGAGGAAGAAGATGACACTTCGATAATTCGAGAGACGCAGAATTATGAGAGTGAGGAAGGAAAAACTAATAGAATAGTTTTTGGTGTGATTTGGAATGAAACATGTGCACTCCTTATATAGTGAAGTAAGGTAGTAAATCTTTCTCACATGAGTAATGTGGGACTAAATGATTTTTTTCAACCAAAAAGATATTCTAACAATGTGGAACTTGAGAAATTTTTAAATTCAATATATTAGAATATGGACATGTTCCAACAATCCCCCACTTGAGTTTAAAAAATTGATTTTAGAAGTAACATCAAACGTTTCTAAGATTGTGCATAAACAAATGTGTCTACGACTTGAACCTTTGCATAACAAGTAGAATTCCAATTCAATAAGAGTGACACAAATGTCTTGAACTCTATCTCAGACATCAAACCCGCACACAACCTTTTCTTAAGGTGTATTCTAATAGCCCGTGCTTTAATGGTCATGCATGTGTATCCCAGTTTAATGAAGGCTCTAAGAATTTTGCCTCGAAATTCCGTAGGAACCGGCCTAAGTTCCACAATCACATAGGTGAGTCTATCAAGAGTACTCCTGTAGCCTAGGTACTCCCTCATACAGAGTATAGATCTCATTAAGAGTTTCTATTATCTCATCCTCTTATTACTTCAGGATTCATGCTTTACTTGCATGATCATCTCATATTACTCACAACTTGTTGTTACCCATTGAACCTATTCTTAAGATCTCTAGTCATTTAGGTCGGGTTACCATCATGAGCAACTCATTTTCCTATAGGCATTAGTCCCATCTTATTTGATGTATTATAGACTTTCTCTCTAGCTAATCCTTTCGTCAAAGGATCTGCTAAATTTTCATTAGTGCGTACATGATCCACTCTTACAGCTCCTTTAGAGATACAATATCTAACAGTGTTGTGCTATCTTCTAATTTGACGTCTTTTACCATTATAATAACAATTCTCGATTTTTGCAATAATCGCGGTACTATCGCAGTGGATCAACACAACTAACATATGTTTTTCTCATAAGGGAATCTCAGTTAGCAAGCATCTTAACCAACTTGCTTCTTCACTAGCAGTCGCTAATGCTATATTCTCAGGATAATGTGTTTCTTTGATTTCCAAGATACAACTCCTCTAGCTATGTTAAATACATAGCCACTAGTTGCTTTGGAATCATCTGATAAGGTATTCTAATCTGCATCATTGTATCCTTCAAGTACAACAGAAAATCTCTGATAGTGTAAATCGAGATTCATGGTCCTTTTAAGGTACCATATGACTCGCTCAATAGCTTGTCAATGTTCATTACTCGGTCTACTAGTAAACCCGCACAACAATCCCACAATATATGCAATGTCAGGTTTAGTACAATCAATAGAATACCTAAGACTTCCAATGATGCTCGCATATTCTGTTTGTCTAACACTTTCACCAGTGTTCTTAAACAGCTTCACGCTTGAATTATTTGGTGTGCTCACAAGTTTACTGTCAAAGTAATTATATTTCTTTAAGATCTTTTTCACATATTGTGATTGATCCAAAGAAATTCCTTGCTCGGATTTCGTGATCTTAATATCAAGAATCACACTCACTTCTCCGAGGTCTTTCATATCAAAGTTGTTGCACAACAATGATTTCATATCATTAATGGCCTGAATGTTTGATCCAAATATGAGTAGACTGTCTACATATAGACATATGATAGTGCAAATGCAATTCTCAAATTTGTAATAAACGTATTTGTCATTTTGATTCACTTGATACCCATTCGATACCATTAAGTTATCAAAATTTACATGCCATTGCTTTGGAGTTTGTTTTAGCCCATACAAAGACCTATCTAACTTACAGACCTTGTTTTCTTGTCCATAGATCACAAACCCTTCCGGTTGTTCCATATAGATTTCTTCTTCTAAGTCACCATTTAAAAAAAGCTGTTTTAACATCCATTTGGTGTACTATTAAGTTATAAATAGCAACTATTGAAATAAGTACCCTAATGGATGTAATTCTAGTGACAGGAGAAAAGGTGTCGAAGAAATCTATATTTTCTCTTTGTCTAAAACCCTTGGTAACAAAGCGAGCCTTATATTTATCAATAGTTCCATCAGATTTTAGTTTCTTTTTCAAAATTCATTTACAACCGATTGGTTTGCAACCAGGAGGAAAGTCTACTAAGTGCCAGGTCTTGTTAGATTCTAGAGATTCTATCTCATTATTGATAGCTTCTTGCCATTAATCAGTATCCAGAGATGACAAGGCTTCCTGAAGATTCATTGGATCTTCTTCTACATTATAAGACGCATAATCAGGCCCATAGTCTTTAGCAACTCTTGTTTACTTCGTCGAAGTTCAATTTCTACATTGTCGTTGTTTTCTGTGCTTCTTATCACAGGAATGTGACTCGATTGTGTGCCCCCACTATTTCTCAATTTGAAAGGAAATTTGTCTTCATAGAATTCATCATCATTTGATTCTATGATCACTTTTGTCTTTAGGTCATAAAACCTATATGCTTTACTGCTTGCTGCGTATCCAATGAAAACACATTCATATGCTCTACTAGCGAGTTTAACTCGTTTCGATTTCAGAATTCTGACATAAGCTAGACAACCCCAAGTTCTCAAATAAGACAAGTTTGATTGTCTTTTCTTTAATATCTCATAAGGAAAGATCTTATATTTTGACTTGGGGACTCTATTCAGGACATAACAAATAGTCAATAAAATTTTCCCCTACCAGTGAGGTGCAACACCAGAATTCATCATAATTGCAACAACAAGTTCAGTAAGAGTTCTATTCTTTCTTTCTGCTTTACCATTCATTGTAAGATAGTATGGTGCAGTCGTTTCATGTACAATTCCATGTATAAAATTCATTAATAAACTATAATCATACCGTTTCTCTATCACTATAAATTCTTATTATATCATTTTCAAATTCTTTACAAAAATTTTAAACATATAAACTTCATTCTTCGTAATGGCGTACAAATCTACCCCAATAAACTGACTAAACCCTCTCTTATTTAAAAGAAAATCAGAAATAATATTCTTTCTAATCTTAGGTACATGCATAATGTTCTTTAAGATTAAAGTCTTTTTTAAGGTGAAATTTAGCTCCATGTCTACAATTTCAGCAACATTAGTGGTCTGGCCATCTCCCAACAACACTTTCTTATCTTTAGTATTCGTGTATGTTTTAAATATAACACGATCATAACAGACACAACGAGAGACGCAAGTGTCTATCCACCAACCAACATATCCATCAACCATGTTGATTTCAATGACTATAATAATAAATTGTCCATTAGTCAGGTTGACCTGTGCATTAGGGACAACACCAAGTTCAAGCTTACTTCTATATTTTTTAGTCATATGACTTGATTTTGAGATCATAGAAGGGTTCCCATTCTTAATTTGGTTCACAATATTGCAGTTTTGATTCTTTAATCATTTTCCAAATGGCTTCAGAACCACACCGAATTTCTTTTTGTTGTTTGAAACAACCAAGACTTTTTCTTTTTGATATTGTCTCAAAGATTTCCTTTTTTTTAAACATTCAAACTATGGGGTAGTTTGTCAATAATAAAACCAATTTGAAATTGTTCATTTTTAAGCAATCTTTTGAAGTTCGTAACATTGAGCCTCCATCGACCTTACATCTTTGCATTTAATACTTGAAGTAACGGCTAACGTCATACTTCTTTGCTCTAGTTTCTACGTCATACTTCTTTTTCCGAGTCTCTCAATCTTGTTTTGCAGTATCACATCAACTGTAATTATCATACAGATCATCTGCTAGTCTATTCAAAATATGATTTTGTAGAGATTTTCATTCTCTTTCTATAAGGTGATTTCTTTCCTATGTTGTAAATCATTCGCTTTAATATGTGCAACATATTCAACTTCAACACTATTAAGTGTTCCTTCTAAATCTCCAGATTTACTACCGTTAGTTTGTTCGATTAATCCAGAAGGATCAACAGAATGTCATCGATCA